GGAATCGATGGTTGAGGATGTAGACCAGGCAGAGGAGGCATAGGAGAGGTTGTCAGGCACACCCAATAATTGTCTGTATTGATTTTGTTTCAGTATTATAGTTTGTACATTTTTTTTACATTGTTACTACATTTTGGACTTACGTGACATATGACATCCTATTATTATATTGTTATGTTATTTTGGTGTGTCTGTTATTTTATAATTCATCTACGAACAAATGCACAATGCATTTTAAAAAACACGTTCTGAAACACTTTGGAGATGTATCTCTGAAAAATTCCCGTAAATGCATCTTCGGACAAATTCAAATGGAAATGAACATATGTTGTGACCCTTTAGGGTTTAAGTTGTTCTAGAGATATATCTCTGGAATATTATTAAGTCATGAGACGCATCCGAAGATATATCTTTAAAATCTGAAGACATTTGTGAAAAACCACACGGTGAAAAAAAAAACTCGTAGGGTGTCTTAAAAAATCCTCTAAATTAAAATTGAACCAAGTTTGAATAAACTTCTAACTTATAAAAGCTTCTTAATCAATATAAGTTTTTCATTCTTCTCGCACATAAAAGAAGTTGCAATAACTATTGTTATATATATATATATATATATATATATATATATATATATATGGGACACATATCAGACTCTCGGCTATATAGTGAAATTTGTTTCAAGATATTGCAATATTCTTTTAATAATTGTGTACCCTAATTTAAGGGACTTAGGGGGTGTTTGTGCTCTATGAAATGTACTATATCAAATTACATTAATGGTTCGATTTAGTTTTCGATAATCACTTTAATAAAAAATGAGTTAATTGTTAAAATTATTTTAATTCAGTTTAAAATTAGTTTGTATTTGTAAATCGGTTTTATATTTTGACCTCTTTTAAACCATTTTTTTTAATTTTATTATTTTCAAAACTAAAAAAGTCAAGTTTTTTATTTTAGGAAATTATTTATTTTATTTTCAGATTTTTTTTAGAAAAAAAATTTAAAATTCATCTTCAACAAAAAAAAGATATATATATATATATATATATATATATATATATATATATATATATATATATATATATATATATATATATATATATATATATATATATATATATATATATATATATATATATATATATATATATATATATATATATATATATATATATATATATATATATATATATATATATATATATATATATATATATATATATATATATATATGATTTTTTTTTATTTTAAGAAAAAACAATATTTTTTATTTTCAAGAATATTTTTTTTATATTTATAGGAAAAATAATTATTTTCAGATATTTTAAGGAAAAATATGTATTTTCCCCCTATTTTCAGACCCTTTTTTTTTAAAGAATTTTCTTTAAAAATATTTTTAAATAATGTTTATTAAATTAAATAATTAAACTTTAACTTAAATTTGATTGACAAATTTTTTTATAATAAATTTAATAGCTTTTTTAGCACTTATCTTAACCTTGGGATTCACATTGATCCTTAGCTTAAAAAAATATTTTTATTGATCCTTTAATTCTTCAAAATGTATCATATTAAACATTTTTATGTAATTAAGGACGAATTTGACGATCGATTTTTAATTTTTTTTGTCATTAATCAAACAAAAAGAACTAACAATCTAACATGATACATTTTGAAAAGGTAAGAAACCAATATAATTTTTTTTTAAATTAAGAAACTAAAATGAACATCGAAATTAAGATTCAATACTAAAAAGAATATTAAACCTTTATAATATTAATATGTGGTTTATTTTAATAACCATGTTCAAATTTATTTTAATTCAATGCAATTTAGTTTGAATATATGGTTCAGATAATTATATTTTTGCACATTTCTATTCTAAATTTTTATTTGTTTGTTTGTTTTAGTAGAGGAAATGGGTTAAAAGATAAATCCCCATAAACAAAAAAGAAAAAAAAAACTAAAAACCTATTTTTTTTTTATGTAATTAGTATATAGTTCAATTAAGCATGTGTTGTCAATTTTGTGTTATTTGTTGCATTGTTGTCCTAACTTCATGGTCTCTCTAGATGTGTGAATTATACATACAAAAGATACTTTGATGCCTATAATAGACAATGTACTACCAAGTAGCAAATAAATAAATTGATTGTGTAATCGTGTTTACGGATGAGACTCATATTTATATAGTGGGTGGACTTTGATGTGTTGCATGCAATTGCTATTTTTATTAAAGTGATCTTGAGAATTGTTAATGGATAAGTAAAAATTAGTTAGCTTAATTAACTCCAAGATAGTCATTGGACCTTATCCTGTGAGAATGTGCTCCTTATGGTTTGGGATTGCACTAAAACTTTATACTTCTAAATTCTTGATTAATATGTGTGTTTGTTTATAGAAATATCCTTTAGGATATGATATGCATTCTATCATCATGTATTGTTAAAGTAATGACAATGAATCTCACTATCAGACTTGTGTTTGTACTATGAAATATGAATATTTTTGATGGTCGATCCATGACATATTTTAGATTTGTCTTCTTAAATTCATATCATTACATAAGCCCCTAGACCTTTACTCATTTTAATAAGTAATGGGTCTAAAAAACATTAAAGCGTGAAAATTTTGAAAAAGGTTCAAGATGAGAATGCTCGAGCTGAAAGAATTCACTGATGTGTATATACTGATCGAGTACATGTTTCCTATAGACTTGCAACTCCGAGTGGTGGAAATCTAATAAATGTAACAGGATGCCACATCACAACCTTGCATATACTTGTGATACGTTTCATAACATGTGTGTGTGTTGATTCACCTGATTGTCGTCATGTTAGACTCTTGCTTAATTAAGGTGCAATCATGGTTGTTGGATCTCCTAGTTCTGCATGATGTCATTTGATCATAATGAGAAAATGTGGATGACTTTCAAGAGTTCATTAAGCGTTTATTGAATATTTTTTCATACCTCTATCTTTTTCATTTATGTCATTTTGATTTTGTGTTACGTGTATAAATTCTTTGAGATTTTTCCTTTATTGTACACCTCAATATTCTACTAATGCCTTTTTCTTCAAAGATTGGATGTAGGTAAAAGAGTTAGACTTTTTTCTGTAATCTCAAAGTTGGAGGTAAACTTTATAAACCAAATAAGAAAATTTGTGATAGGGATCTTTCTGGCTACAATTGGGTAAACGATAATGTAAGGGATGCATATTCAATATGCTCGAAGGATACATTTTCCTAACATTCACATCACATGATTCCTTTCTTAGCGATGAATATATGTTTCGCCATTCATATGTGTGTGTTGGTTGGGGAAGTGGTCGAGTATGTTTTAAGAATTATTAGAATGAGTTAGAATTCTTTGATATTCATAAAGTCTTGCTTATGAAGGTTGGTTTTAATACAAAACCCCCCTCCCCTTTTAAATTTAAGTGAGATCTCATGTGTTGGCTTATTGCTTTCTCAGCTTCACTTGAATAGCCAAGCATATATTAGGTGTTTTGAATTGGTGGTGTGTAAGGGATTCAAAGTTCCTTTTTCTACTACTTTTTTCTTCTTTTCTATAACCTAAGGTTGAAGGTAATATTGATTCATGCTATTTGAGTGGTAAGTTTGATCAAAGCTTCTTCTCTCTTTTTGAGTCATTCCACAAGTATCGGAAGCACCATTACTTAAAGGTGTGTCGTGTGCTTAGGGATCCTTTCATGTTTCATGATAAATTCGATAACCCCATATTTCATTTCCACTGCAATTTAAATCAATTGGGAATCCGATTTGTAGACGAAGAGTTGTTACCCTTATGACAAATTTAAGCTTGGACATGACCCTTATAACCTGAAGAAATACTTCAATAAGTGTCTTTAACCTATTTTTATTGTTTTGAACTCGAATATAAACTAGTATACTTTTTCATTTTACAAATAGAAAGAGTCACAAAATGAACAAGAAGACGTTGACTTCTTTAGTGGATAATGCAAAAATCTCTAGGACGAGATGTGATACTGAAGATGAATATTCCAGATCAAGACAATTGGACGAGTTCTCTATTTGAATTTTTAAATGCAAGTGCTTTAGCATCAAGGTTTGTGCAGAATGTTGCTAATGGATTCACTGAGTGCATGCACGAGCTAATTCATAAAGAGGGTGAACAAAAGATAAAAGTCATAAATAATCGTAGACTATGTTTTGTATCCACCCCATACCATCTATGAGATGCTTATCTTGTTCATCAATGCAGGAAAACATCTATTAGTAGGAGCATGAAGTGTTTATTTTGAAATATGATAAGGAGAACTTTCAAGCTCGTTTGGAAGAATTGGCTAATGATGAGCAAAGGATGAAAGATGTGTGACGAAAATCATATATTAAAGCTCGCCAAATTAAAGGATGATGAGGAAGTGAAGGTAGAGGAAGTCGAATATGGATGTTGAGAGGTTAAGGCATGTTGTAAAAAAATTAAAAAAGAGTGTGGAGAAGTCCATCGAAACCTCTAAAAATGGAGATCACGCGTCTTTTTAAAAAGGATAAATAGTTGAAAGTATTTGAAATTGTTATAGATAATACGAGTTTCAATTCAAACCGTTTTAAAATACTATATTTTAAAATAAACTTAGAATCTAAAAAACAATATTAATAAATAAGTTTTATAGTTGTAACTTGATATTTAATCACAAGAGCATAAGTATGTGTAATGTAACTATGTAAGTGGTAATAATGTATCATGAAAGTAAATAGTTAGAGATAGAAAGATATATACAATTGTGTATGAATTAAATCTCTGTTAAAAGTATATTTACTCTAATACTAGTGTTTGAAAGTTAAATTAAAAAGATAAAAACAAAACAAAATAAAATAAAATGGAAAAGCTCCTTAGGTAGATGCATTGTTCTGTTAAAATCAAAAAACGATTCTCTCACTCTTTCTATCAACTTTCTCCATTCCGTTCAAACCGTTTTATCATTATAGAAACTCAGACACCGCAAATCGCAGCCATGTCATTCACTGTCGACGAACACCACTTCGCTGTTGGCGACGACACTTACTCCGAATATGGCGGATTCTCCAGCTTCTCCGGCGAAGAAGTCCCCGTAGATCACACACCAGCAGCGGCGACGGAGTCGCCTGAAATATTCGGATTCAGTGATCAGGATTCAAGCTACGCTCAGTCTCCCTTTGAACCAGTGCACGTAATGGAAAACGGAAACGGTTACGGAGGTCATGATGACGACATTTTTGCATCGGACGGACCGGTGCTGCCTCCTCCCGGCGAGATGGAGCCAGAGGAAGGTAACGTCCTTCGGGAATGGCGCCGGTAAGCATCTCGGATTCCTTCCCTGTCTCTGATTTTGTTTTTATGTTTGTGGAGTTGAGTATGTTTTGTGAATTTGTCAGATCTCGTTTGAATCTGCTTAGATCTAAGCTAATTTTGCTTTCATTACTAATTGCTTGATCCCAAAGTTTCTTGTTTCACTTTATGTTTTCTCTTGATTGCTTGTGATGTGAACGCTTAGGATTATGAATCAGGAATTCGGAAGTTGAAAGAACTGAATTGAACTTTGATTGTTCCAATTACACTTGAAGTAGTTACTTGAGCTGTTGTTACAAAAAAGATTGATGGTTGAGATTTAGTAAACTATGCGACGATTTGTATCCACCGATTCGTTTTGTTTGCTTCATCTAAATGGAAGTTGGATCTCTATATTTATTGTGTTAGTTTGGACTTAAAAGTTGGAATCAATTCTGTAGTTTGCAGGATCATTTTTTGTGTATTGAAACATTGGATGAATATCTCTATTGATCAATTGAAGTGAGACGTTTATACTCGAGTTGACTATATTGAGTGTTCCATTTTCCATGATCGTCTCTCCCTTAGTTAAACTTAGATCTAGCTAGTGATTTACAGAGTAGCAGATGATGATAAGCTTCATTAGGGAATAAATAAGCATCAAATCGCCCTGAAAACATTTTTGTTTTGTTTTAATGAGAGTGCTTGGGGAAATAAGAGAAGCATGTAGAGTATGTTTGAAACCACAATGCAAGTAACTTTGGACAAAATATCCATTCAAAACTGCTAAACATAGAAGGAGAAAGGAACAGCGGAGTTCCTTTTGCTTCAAATAGATGATTGTATGCTTCTAACAGTTTTCCAAACATGCTCATGGTATATGTTTTATAATAATTTTTCGCGTTGGCTGAATCTTCTAAAACTTTGTAATGCATGCATATGCATATTCATTAAGCATGAATTTTTCATTCAGTTATTCCTTGTGTAACATTTGCATTGAGTTAGTCCCTTGTGTAGTTTTACCATTTTACTATGTTCCTTGCTCTTTGTTACTGCACATTAACCTTTATTTATTCAACTTTTTTCTTTGGATTTGGCTTCTTTACATGAGGGATTCACTTTCTAAGGAAAAGTAAGGATGTATATTCATTGATTAAAAGATGCCATTGACTATCAAGAAAAGGCTGGACCCATTATGGATCTTTTGTAGGCCGTCTAACCTTGCATTGGCGATATGTGGATTCCATGACTCACACTCTTGACCTCCAATCACATGGTAGAAGGTCTAACAATTGCACCACAGATCCACTCCAACTAAAGCACAGATTTTGTCTAGGAAAAAAATGGGATGCAAGTTAAGCCGTAGGTACCAAAATTTTAGTATAGAGGTGGAAATTAGACGGCACACCATATCACAAGTCTCATGGTTTCAGTCCATCATATAAAACGTTGGAAGATAGACAGAGACATCAACCGTAAGATCAGAGCAAGATAGATGAAATTAAGGAATGCTTGGAATATGGATAGAGTAGTGTCACTTGTGCATAAAGAAAAATTTAGCACAACTATAGGAGCTGTAATGTTGTGTGAATTCAATATAAGATGGTAAATAGCCAATTACCTTTTTTTTGGTAGAAATAAAACCATTAAAAAGAAAGTTGTAGTAGGTCCTATTGTATGGTTTTTTTTTTTCCTTTGTAGGTGGTTTGATCATGTGTTAAAAGGCCTCATAAAAGCATCGATAAGAAGGATTAGGCAAATGAAGGATAGTCCAATAATCTAAAGTAGAATGGAGTCAAAGTAAATTATAGGTCAAATGATATTATGGCATGATATTATGCCATTGTTTGATCCATGTAACCAATCCCACTTAGTGAATAAGTGATTTGGTGGTTGTCGCTAACCATGAATACACATACTATTTGTTTGGTTGTATGAGGCAAAGTTATTCTCAACCTAAATTGTAGGGCGTATTTGCTTGCAATCTGAACTTTGGATATTTAAAGATCTACTATATGTTTTCTTTTTTTGGTTGACAATGAAAATGAATTCGTTATGCAGTCAAAATGCCATTCAGCTAGACGAGAAGGAGAAAAGGGAAAAAGACATGAGATTGAAGATTATTGAGGAAGCTGAAGAGTATAAAGTGGGTTTCTATGAGAAAAGGAAGCTCAATGTTGAGACTAACAAGGTTCAAAACAGAGAAAGGGAGAAGGTAAAATTTACCGATCCCACATTAAAATTACTTTCCACAATATGATTGTTCTTCTAATCTTTAGAGATGAGCTGTGTTTGTGGAACAGTTATACTTGACTAATCAAGAAAATTTCCACAAGGAAGCTGACAAAAATTACTGGAAAGCAATTGGGGAGATAATTCCTCGTGAGGTTGCCAACATTGAGAAGAAAAGAGGCAAAAAGGATCAGGATAAGAACCCATCAGTTACCATCCTCCAAGGCCCAAAGCCGGGCAAACCCACTGATCTTTCTAGGTTGCGGCAGATATTGTTAAAGTTGAAACATACACCACCACTTCACATGATCCCTCCTCCACCTGCATCTGCTAAAGTCTCCAAAGATGGGAAGGACGGAAAAGAAACAGCAACTAAACCAAATGGATCAGCACCAGAAGGAGCACCTGAAACACAACCAAATGGATCAGCACCAGAAGGTGCACCTGAAACACAGCCAAAGGATGCTGCCAATATCGAGGTCTCAGATTTACCTCTGAAAGAAGCTCCTGCCACTGAAGAGCAGGCTGCTGCATAACTTTGTGTATCATACTTGAGTTCTCACAATATCTTTCTTCATTTACTTTTTCCTTTGCATTCTTAACTGTTTTTTTTTTGGCATGCTTATATAGTTTGTATGGCCTTTTGTTTTTATTTCCAACGTTCTGGTTTTGTATCAATTAAATCCATTATGTCTATCATGACCTTGAAAATCAAATGCTACATGGATTTTGTTACATTCTTTATAAATAATGAAGTGTGTGTTTTTTACTTTTATGATTAAGCTGCGTTATAACGTTATTTGTTGAGAAATAAAGACAGGCAACACAACTTCAGTTAAAATTATTCATGGCACTGGATAACATGGAAGGCAAAGACTAGACAAAATTGAAAATTTTGTCCCACTAAACTAAACCAAGAGACAGTCTTTTTTGTCTACAAACTATTTAATATCAAAATCTAAGGAAAATTAAGGACACCTTAGAAATAGGTGGGTCATGGGTGTCTGACATGCACATTCGTATTCGGATTAAATTCAGATAATGTGACATGCACATTCGTATTAAATTTAGATAAGTGTCATTAAGTTAGATAAGTGTTTAAAAAATGATTGTTTTTTGCTTCAACACTCTTTTGGATCGGTGTCCTACAATCGTATGATACACATGTCAGTCGTATGATACACATGTCAAACAATTCAAGCAAGTATTTTATAAGAAAAAAATCTTTGCATCAATACACCTAATATATTTTTTTAGACAAATTTCATATATATTATTTAAAAGGGTAAAACATTGATTGAGACACGGTTATGAATGAAAAATTATTTTTGATTAGAATATGTCGACATTTTTTAATAATAAATAGATAAATAAATGTCAAATATTATCATATATTTAACAGGATTGATATCCAATATTTTTAACATTAAAGATGTTAAAGTATCTATGTTATGTGGTGTATCGGTATCTCTGTCAGTATTTTATAATTATAACATCATTTTATTTTCACTTAAAATATTTAGCTAATCTATGATGAATTTTATCTACAGATATACTAAATCTCAGGTCCGTTTTATTACTCATAATTATTACGAGATATGAGAGAGAAAAGAAAAAGATCAAAATTTAGTGAAACATAAAATATAATATATATATATTATATATATATATATATATATATATATATATATATATATATATATATATATATATATATATATATATATATATATATATATATATATATATATATATATATATATATATATATATATATATTTAATGATACCCGTACTCGCGGATATCCGTATCTATTAACAAATTATAAAAATCGTTTAAATATCATTAATTTATTATAACTTGTCTTTTCATCTTTAAAAAAAAATAGTCTAATTATATTTTATTTTTTTAATTTGAAATTTTTTTTGAAGAAATTCTTTAACATTTCATACAAATTTTATTAGTCATTTCATATTTAAACTCTTCAATACTTTATATCTAACTTTAACAATTCCACAGTCCAACCAACCAATATCGTCATTCCTCTATAATTAGTGTCTCCCTACTCCTCGGGATCTTATTATGTTTTGGTGAAAAAGAAGAAAATTAATATAATGAAATTTTATTATTAAATTAATAAAAAATTGTATGGGTGTCACGTGTTGATAACTTTTTGTGTCTTTAAAAGAAACTAACTATTTTTTAAAAAAAATTATTTTAGAAAAAAATATTATCCATGGATATCTGTTAATATTTGCGGGTACCGTAAAACCCGCAAATTACCCGCTTAACGGATATCCACATGAATATGGGACGGATACGAATATCATATTTATCCAACGTGATGGATACAAATATCATTTCGCCTTTCTAATTAACCTGTTAGATTTTTGTGTCGAGCAACCCCTTCGTTAACCTCCATCTTCCCCATTTTCGGTTGTCGCGATGCTGGGCGAAAAGGGAAGAGCATGCACATGTTCCACATCGCCAATATTTCTTTTGAGCTAAGTGGATTATTAGTGAATATGCCGCCGACACATTTCCATCTCCTTCGTCGTGACAACACTTTGTTGGGCGAGCCACGCGCCGAATTTGCTCAGGCAGCTGATAGAGATTCAAATGCTAATAATTCTTTGATTAAAACTTAACAATTTGTCACGTCCATTACTTAAAAATTATGAGATTTTATTAACCATGATCCAAAATATGTTACTCTTGAATATGGTTATGTATGTGCAGAAAAAAGACTAAGGAACACATCAGCTGAAGCAAAAAGAGAAGTCATGTCCTGCAAACTTCGCATCGCAAACAATAGATCGCTACGCAACGTTCACAACGCAAAGAGAAAGCGAGCAGCAACGAAGAAGAGATAGAATCAAATTCTCATAACTTTGCTTGAAGCGAGTGTAGTCAGAGGAAGCGAGACAAGTTCGTGATACGCACTTCACTTCACATAGAGAAAGAGAGGCAGAGACAAAAACACAAAAGTTCGCTTGCAGCGACAGAAGCAAGGTGTAGTGAGGTAAGTTCGCGACGTGAACTTTACTTTGCATAGCGAAGTATGGCGGTTTCCATGGGCGGTTTGAAATGTCTTCAAGGTGAAGCAAGCCTAATTCGCGTCGCGAGCAGAACTTCACACAACGAAGTTACTTCAACTCAAATAGTATAAAAAGGGTGCAACATAACACTTTGAGGATCATCTTGGAGAAAAATAGAACAAAATATTGAGATAAATAACATATAGTTTGTAATAGATTGTAAGGGAAGAGAATAGAAGAATCGAGCTGGATGCGCATCAAGAATCGAGAAATCATTGTTGATGTTGTTTCACCTCCAATTCTATCTTTTTGTTCAAGCTACCATGACAATGGGTAGTTAAACTCTTTTCTTGTTAGGATCTGAAAGAATCTACCTTAATCGTATGTATCTTTATTGATTATGTCTTTAATGAAATCTTGTTATTCATAATTATCGATTATATCTTAATTTTATCGATCAAACTTTTGGATGTGAATTGTCATTGAGAAATATGTTTGTATTATGCTTTAAGATTATAACCAGTTAAACACTAATTACTAGACATAAACTTAGGGTTTAATTTTAATAAACAAACTTCAGTTCTTAATGCGATCGGTTTGATAAATAGATTGAGAAATCATCGATTAAACTAACCGATTGAAATCTCGACAAACGCATAGACATATGTGTGGTTGTGAGTGATTGGTGAATGTAAGAAATAAAAAGCAAGTTTATATAAGAGTAATCAATTAAGTCATACGTGCACGGTAGAAGAATTCCAATTCCGACAAGTTTTCTTATCAATTAAACTTTACTTTATTAAATTACGATTTTACATTCAGTTTACTTTAATCAAACCATTTGACAAACTTAACTTGAAAACAATAACGATTGTCTTTAAATATTGGTAATATCGCGCCGGTCTCTGTGGATACGATACCAAATACTTTCTTTTTTGATTTACTCAACACCAAATGACGTTGTTGTCGAGGACCAACGTTTAGATATTACGAACGAAACGACTGTTGATATCTTTTTAAATTTGTACATTTGTTAAAAACTGTATATATATTTTCTCTATTCTTTACCGTACCTTCTCCTAACATTTTATTGGTTAGAAATTACGAGCTTTGTGTATGCGAGGTACAAGACGGAAGATTTATTACCTTTTGATCCTGAGATCGAAAGAAAAATCTTGAAAAACAAAGACACGCGAAGAAGAAAAAGAAGCTAGCCAAACAGAAATCTAAAAAAAAAGGAGCTTTCACCTCAACACCTTCATCAAAAGAAACAATGGCTGAAGGTGGACCTGAAGTTGTCAACGTTGGACCTTGTCGAAGCAGTCCAAGACCATTAGCTCGTCTCACCAACACTCTAAATAACAGACAAGCTAAGATGAAGATAGGGATGTTACAGATTTTCTATGCAAACCCTTTTACATGTCTGGATCATGAAGATCCCTACACTCATCTCACAAAATTTCTACAAGCTGACCAGTACACTTGGAGCACCAGAAGCTGAAGAAGAAGCAATATTTATGAGATTGTTTCCACATTCCTTGATCAGAAAAGTAAAGGATTGGTATCTAGACCAACCAACTGAAATCATGACCAACTGGAATGTTCTAGAAAAATACTTTCTGAACAGGTTCTTTCCACATAACAGATTTATGGATGCCAAGACAGCAATAACCACATTCGCATAAAGTGCAACTGAAACTTTATGTAAAGCATGGGAACAGTACAAATCCATGTTGCGGAAATGTCCTAATCATGAATTTGATGAGCTCACACAAATCCGTATCTTTCGAAATAGACTTCAGCCGCAACCAAAGATTTTACTTTATGCAACTACCGATGGTTCCTTGTCATCTAAAAGAGCAGAAGATGTTGTGTCTATCATCAACCTTATGGCTCTAAATGATCATCAGGTGTAGTACAATTGAGGTACGATGCCAAGAAGACCTGGAATCTTGGAGTTAGGTACAAATGACGCAATTTTGGCGCAAAATAAGATCCTTACTCAAACAGTGGAAGAATTAACTAAGCAACTCTTCAAATTTCCACATCAATTCAAAGAAATGCATGAAACATCAAACAAACCGCAACAAGTAGCTTTTTATGAGTTGTGTACTGGCGATCATCCAACAGGTTTTTGTCCTCCAATTAATGAAGAAGTTAATTATATAGGGAATCAACAAAGGCCAACACCATATCAAGGAAATCAAAATTATCGACGCGGAAACAACACCAATTATGGTCAAGGGTGGAGGCAAGAAGCTGGAACCTTAAGCAGGCCCAATCAATATCAGAATTTTCATCAACAATCGCAGAACCCGACTCAACTAGATAGAACAACCAAGCTAGAGGACACCTTGAACCAATTCATGCAAATGTCTATTACAAATCAGAAAAACATCGATGCTTCAATTAAGAAGCTCGAAACGCAAGTTGGACAAATTGAAAAATAATTGGCAGATCAACAAGAAGGGACTTTCACAACAACCACTCAAACAAAT